GGGGGGGGGGGGGAACTACCCCTTAGAATTTGAATTGTTTGTGCTATTTTTGTTATGTGGAAGCCGTGTATGCGAGGTGACGAGTGCGTACTCGGGCTTATATGTGGAAATTGACTAGTTTAGATTCTTAGGCTTCTTTCATATATTGGTGTGAAATTGTTAGCACATGTTATATCTTTTATTTGTCATGTTTACTCTCACATGCTTTCATTGAAGTTGTTAGCACATGTCATATCTTTTATTCGTCATGTTTACTCTCACATGCTTTAATTGAAGTTGTTAGCATATGTCATATTCTTTACTTGTCAAGTTTATTCTTATATGCTTTATTTGAAATTGTTACCTCTTTTATCATTATGTGACTTACTTTATTGTTAAGTTATTCTTAATTGAAATTGTTGTTACATGATATCCTTTTGTTGCTTAGTTATTCTCATGCATTTAGACGTAGTTGCTAGTTCGTGACATCTCTTTCATTGTTAGACTATTTCATACGCAATGATCCAAAGTTTGTCATTTCATGGAAATACCTTCATTATCGAGTTTATTCTTAAGCAATTAATTGAAGATGAAGTTATTGAAAGTCATTATTTTATTTGAATTGACGTTATGTTTAAAGGGGGTGTTGTTCATTATTGAATTACTTTCCCGTTAATTTTTATTGTTATTGAGATTCTATACACATTGTGTTTGAGTCTTGGGCTATTTGTTGTGAACATATTCATATTGTTGGTTCTTTTGAAAAGGTTGTGCCTTATGGGCACTTGTGGTACGAGTTGATATATCGTGTTGTTGTGATATTAGAACATGTGAATTGTTGTGTGGATTAGTTGTTGTTATGTAGAGCATAAGGGTGGCATCTTATTGTTGTTGTTATGCGGAGCATAAGGGTTGCACCTTACTGTTGTTGATTGCACGGAGTGATACGGGTGGCTATTTTGTTATTGTCTGTACGGAGCGATAAGGGTGGATATTATGTGGAGTGATACAGGTGGCTAATTATATTATCAGGGCAGAGTGATACGGGTGGCTATTAGAGAGATAAGGGTGGCAATATCAGGGATGATGTATGAATGCCTGAGGGCATTATGTTGACAATATTCGTGTGATAGGGCGATTCTTCTTGTGTATGTCATACACCTTACATGACTTATTGTGTTGCTTTCAATGAGCTACTCGGTGTCTTTGATATTACTTGTTGACTTGGGTTGTACTAGTACACTCGCACAAGCATACACCGTAGCATGTCACTTATACTAGTTCAGGAGTATGAAACTTAATATTTATTGATCATGCACATGTATTCTTGTATTATCTGCTTTCATGTTAATATTGAGTCTGTGACCATGTCGAGCGGATTTTGATAGTGAGCTTGTGATCACACAGGGAGGATTGTGATTGTGAGCTTGTGATCATGACGGACGGATTGAGATACTGGAACGTGAGTTGTGCCGTGAGCATATGTTTGTGGGTTGAGACTCATAATTTGTGATTATGAGATGAGGTGTCTCGGAGTAATTTTGTTGTGAGACTTGTGTTAGAACGACTTGATTAATTGGTTGTCATTTGTTTTTCTTATTTGGTTTCAATGGTACTTTCACGGTGTTCCTATTACTTTACTTTTTATATCACATGTTGATTCTTGTTTCCATTTACTGATTCCTACTTTCATTATTAGCTCTATGTTTCTATATTGCATAGGTTATTTTGACTAGCAGGTGTCTTGACTCGTACCTTGTCACTACTCTACTGAGGTTACTCTTGATACTTACTGGGTATCGATCGTGGTGTACTTATACTTCACTTTTGCACTTTTTTGTGTAGATCCAGATATTTGAGATATCAGAATCAAGAAGAGTTAGCTTATCGATTGCGAGGATTCAAGGTAGATCTGTTTGATCGTCGCAGTCCCTTGGAGTCTTTTCTTTAAATTGTACTGTCAGCTTGTTATTTGAACAGTATTGTATTCGATCTTTGAGATCTTTCCATGTATTCAGCTAGAGTTCGTGACTCTGTATTACCTAGTATTGGGAGGTTGTTATGATTATTGTCACGAGGTTTATTTTGCTTTTGTATCGGTATTCATATTAAACTCTGTTTTAAATTATCATTGTTAAACTGGCTTAATTATTGTAAGTAATCAGCTTACCTAGTCTTAAAGACTAGGTGCCATCACGACGCTTGTGGTGGGATTGTGAGTCGTGATAATTAACCATAATAAAGAGAGCAAGAAATGCTTCTTTTTTTCTTTTAGTTTAGTTTCGTAACTAAGCAAAATACAATAGATAAATAAACAAATAAAAATATTTTTGAGTTGGATGAGTCGGTTTACCCATTTTCTCCACCATCAATAATGAGGTTATCGATTTTAAAATACGTAGTAAAGAGAGAGTATGTGCATGCGCACGCACACGCAGGAGAGAGAGTCATATGCGCTTAGACTTTCCTTTTATCTCTTTTTTTTCAAGGTCCAATACTATTTAAAAGGTATTCACTTCTGTGTAAATGAAGTTCCTCCAAATTTATGACCAATCTTACCTTCATTAATCATATAATATTACAGACATAGTGCATTGGAGTAGGGCTGTGCACGGATCGGATCGGATTTAGCATATTTCGGATTCGAATTTCGAATTTCGGATTCTAGAAAATGCAATCCGAATCCGATCCGAATTATATCGGATCGGATCGGATTTTAAAGTTTGGATCGGATCGGATATCGGATCGTATTATTATGCCTCAAAGTTAAACTAATATGTATATTTTCTTTGTAAAAGATGCAATACATTAAGAAAAATTCATGTTTATGCAATTATGAGAGTACTATGGTGCCAATTAGCTAAATCTAGCAATTGTAAAGGTAATAACTTGGAGGTTGATGTAAATTAAAGTGTAGTATTTATACATGTCCTAATAATTTCGGATTTCGGATTGGATTGGATTAAAATATACCAATCCGAAATCCGATCCGAAATCCAAAATTTTAATAAACATAATCCGAAATCCGATCCAATCCGAAATCCGAAATTCAAAACTAAATGGATCGGTTCGGATTTCGGATATCCGATCCGAATGAACAGCCCTACATTGGAGTCCTAAAGCACCACCATAAACTATCGTGTGTCCCGTACTAAGGCATGCACCTTCTTATATATTATGTCAACAGCCACCTCTGATATTACCTTTAGGGTTTTCCCGAATCAAAATTGTTTAATAAATTTACGTGAATTAATTGTACTTTCATACTTCTATGTTAAGTGCGTAAAGTTTTATTCTGAAAATGCACTTAAAATGTTCATACCTATCGATTTTAACAACTTATTTTACTGTGGACAACACATGACGTTCATATAAATCTATTATATGTGCCTCTCCATTTATCGTTGGGTGGACCTCATCCAATAACTATCATAATTGATCTATTATATCTTTTGCTTTGTTTCTTTTGGAACAAAAAGACTTTATGATTTCGGATCAAGTGAATGCCTCAATTTGAATATTCTTTTAGGGTAAATTATTAGATTGAGTAAGTATGTTGAGGTGTGCATGATTTCCAAGAGTGGGAGGAAAAATGATTGAAAAGGATCAAAAAGTTAAAGAAGAGGGGGCTTTTTGTAAGACACGTGGCGTATGTTAAGCATTTTATTCGTACATATATAGAATTATAATGGATAGAACAACTATGGAATGCTACCCTTTAGATTTGATTTATGCATGATTCCATTTGTTAACTATTGTGAGTTAGCTTTTGGTAACTTAATACCTTTTAGAAATTTAGAGCTCCTTCTATTCTAAACTAATTATGACTTATGTCCCTTTTGTTCTCAAAAATCAAATGACATTAATCTAAGATGTATAAGGTTTGGAGGTGTCCACTAATTACCTTGCCGTGGACTCTTCTCTACAAACTCATACTCACTCCACTTTTTTATATGCTTTTCTTCCAATGAGTAGTACTCTTTCATCCTTTGGTTACTTCTCATTCTTTTAGAAAAAATCTTAAAATATAATAGAGTGAATTCAAGATTCATGGGTGAAGGATAATTGCATGGTGGTAATGGAGGAGTAAAGTGAAAATAAAAATTAAAACTTGTGTTTATTATCAAACGAGCTTTGGATCAATGTCTTGGATAAAGAGTATGGATCTAATAAGAGAACTTAATTAAATAGAAAAAAATAGGAGTTCAATAGGAATAAATGTAGATTAATATTCGATTAGGAGATGGTGTGAAATAAAATAGTAAAAAAGGAAAGAAGAAAATATTGTTGTGTAGAAGGAAGGAAGAAAAGGGAAGCAAGTGTCCTAATACGGGGGAGAGGAAGGGTAATATATAGGTTTAATGTACATGCAGTTCATCAACAATAAATGACGAGAATATTCTAAAACTCGTGCATGCTTAAAGGATTGTAATACCGCCAAAAAATATTATGATCATAATACCAACAAAAAAATATTACGATAAATTATCAAAGAAGTACGTAATTAATGAAAGTAGTAAAGAGAATCTAAGTATAATTAAGATATACCTAAGTATGGTTGGAGATTTGATGGTATAGATTTGGATGGCTGATAAGCAAGGAGCATAGTATTGCACAACATTCTCATTATTTTTTAGAGCAATAGAAGCACCAACACCATATGAACTCCATTCTTCATAACAATCCCACAAGTCTCCAAGTGTGAAATATTCAGATTTTTCCTTGGCAATTGGATCATTCATGTAATTCTACAACATTTTAAAAAGAAAGCAAACTAATGAGAGATAAATGGTAAAAAGAAAGAAAACAAAATGAAAGAGAGAGAGAAGGGAAATATGTAAAAGTGACAAGTGATAAAAGAGTCTATATATTCACAATTTTAGAAAAAATATCTAGTGCGTAGGAAATACATTTTGGAACCATCAAGCAAATTTAGAAAGAGATTGATTGATATAGATGCATTCAAGAAATGTAGTTCTTAACCAGTATTAGAGATTTGATATCTTTTAATTTATTGGACTAAAAAAACATTCGATTAAAAAGGAACAAAAATAAAGTCTAGTTTGCCATCAAAATCGTAGACTGTTCCAATTTTCTACTTAGATTAGCAAACGGAGGTAGAACTAAACATGTCTTGCAAGGCAAAAACATGTTATTATTGTTATAATTTGGATCTCATTTACTTTAAAAAGATTTATATATAAGCTAAAAAGATTTTAAGTCAATTCATCAGAAAGAAAATGAAAAGTATATAAAAAAAAAATTAAGATATATTTGAGTGTATCATGTATGAAAAACATATACAAATAAGCCAACAAGAAAACTTGATATCAATCTATTACTATGCCTCAGTCTCAAACAAATATTGAGATGTTTCTTGGGGGAAGAAAAAAAGAATTACCCTTGGTAGAGGTTTTGAAGCTACGACGGGTGTTACTGACCGAAGAAAATTCTGGAGATTTGACATCTGATTTGATTTCCTTTTTGACAAGAATTCAAAGGAAGAAGAAAACATTTTGATTGTATTTTTTTTCCTCACAACCACAAGAACAAAATTTTACTAGACTTCTCTTTGGTTTTGTCAATTCAAAATCAACCATTGGCAAGTAGTTAGCACTTGTATTAACTTACTAAAAAATTGGTTTTGAAGATTTACATAATCTGAAGTAGATTTAATTGTAGAGATTAACATACATTTAAAACTATAGTTGACATGAAAGTCAAAAAGTGTCATCTTAAAATTTGTTTTATATTATGACAAAATTGTAAACACAAACTAGAAATTAAACATCGATAAACTCTAAAGAAATGAACAAAGGAAATTTGCCAGAAGTAATTAAAAAATTTGGAAGAAAAAAAAATGAAGCTATATAAAAAGTAACTCGTGTTAAGAAATTTGCTAAGAAGAAGGAGGAGAAAGCAATGAGAAAATAAAAAGTAAATATGAAAATAAACTACTAGCAAAATATAACGTAAACATTAATTACAACAACACCAACTCGTGTACTTATAAAATTTTGTTATCATTTGTTAAATGCTAGTCTTAATTAATCACTTCTTTAAATGCTACAGATTAATGTATATGGAGTTTTCACCACTTCTTGGGATATTTTAATTTATTTATTTTTTATTCCCTCCCTCCATGGGTATTTTGATTTGGATTTACAAATATAAGAAGAGTGGAAAAGATTACCTCTAGTAGAGTAATTTTAGTGATACATTTTTTTTTGGTTTCCCACTAGGTGCCCGATTTTATATTGGGGCCCGACTAAATTCGGATTTGCACCGGAAAGTCCCACATTGGAGGGTAAAGTGCTCCCTAACAAAGGCGATTCCATATCGAGAGACTCGAACCTGAGACCTAGGATGAAGGAGTACTTATCACTCCACCACAACCCTTGTTGGTCTTTTTAGTGATACATACTTTGTAGTAGGGGTGTTCAAACCGAACCGAAAAACCGTACCAAACCGAAAAACCAAACCAAACCGATTAAAAAACTCGACTAGGTTTGGTTTGACTTGATTTGGTATTGAGTAAAAAAATTCGAACCAAACCGACATATAAATATATAAATTTTTCTTTATATTTTTAAGACTTTATAGTGATTTTTCTTTAGAAAATGTAGAAATATTTGGGATCCTCTCTAACCTTGAAAGCGTAAATTAACTAAAATTATTGTTAGACGACTAAGAAAATAACAATCATGTGTTACTAAAAAAATGCTCCCATTAGAATATTTTAATAGATCATATGTTTGTTAATTTTTTCCATATTTACTAAACATATATTCACATATCAAAGCTTTAATTTTAACAAAGTAAGATTGAAATAATATTCATGTAACAAAAAAATCGAAAATTCGGAAAATCCGACAAAATCGGACAAATCCAAACCAATATAGTTGGTTTGGTTTGATTTTGATAAAATCGAACCAACCCGATCCATATATACCCCTATTTTATAGGTTAGGTTAGGTTTTTGTGTGATTCCTGTTGAAGCATACAAGAGAGGGTGCATAGGGTGAAAGGATTTCAAAGCGGGACACACATGCACTAAACAAAATTCGAAAGGTGTATAAAACCTAAAATGGATAAAATTTTACTTCACCACGTGCATAAAAAAATAGTACGAGGCACCCTTTAGAGGAATTCTTACTTTTTTACCTTTTTATACGCAAATTAAATGTGTAAAATTTTAAACATAGAGCGGGATTATAGTATTAGGTTACTAGGTATAGGTTAACGTAAACCTAGTAGCATTTGCTTCGACTCTATAATTGTATAAAAAATCACTAGATATAATAAAATATTTAGTTCAGAATCTAGTATGTTGGTCCGATTATTAATGTAACATAAAATTCATCGGATATATAAGAATATTTAGTTCAAAATCTAGAATATTGGTTTAATTATTAATGTAACATAAAATTCAAATCCTCAATCGGCTTTAGCTTCTGTAATTAAATATGGAACTAAAGATGTCACGATCCGGATTTTTCACCCTGGGGAGTCGTGATGGCGCCTACTCGTAGAAGCTAGGCAAGCCAGGAAAATTTGAAAATCTTTAACTACTTTATTTTAAGCCTTTTAACAACTTGCATTAACAGGTGATAAACATTTAAATAATAGTGGAAGATGAAATTAAACGGAAGACTTAGATGAATATAATACCAAAATCGATCCGAAAAGACAACATATGTCTTTACCCAGAAACCGATGTCACAACATTCACGGACCGTCCATGACTACTACATACAAATGTCTGAGGGAAAAAACACAATATGTCTCGGATACAAGTGATAACAGAACATAGTAATAGATAGAAGAGACGTCGGGCCTGCGGACGCCTGTAGAACTACCTTGGAATCTCTGTGGACTGAAGGCTGGCTCCCAAGCTACTGATCCAATGTTGCCCAGGTATCTGCACAGAGTGCAGAGTGTAGCATCAGCACAACCGACCCCATGTGCTGGTAAGTGTCTGGCCTAATCCCGGCGAGGTAGTGACGAGGCTAGGACCGGACTCCAGATAAACCTGTGCAGTTATATAACATATGGCGGAAAATAAACAGGAATAAGCAGTTTAAATGGGAGGGGGTACATGCTTCAGGGAACATATCAAATCCAACAGCAACTTAATAAAATATGAAAGGACAATTCAATAGCTACAACAATACAATAATAATACTGTTGCGGTGCGCAACCCGATCCCTTATCATTTAATATTGTTGCGACGTGCAACCCGATCCACATATATAATTGTTGCGGTGTGCAACCCAATCCAATATAATATTTGTTGCGGCGTGCAACCTCATCCAACATAATATCTGTTGCAGTGTGCAACCCGATCCAACATAATATCAGTTGCGACGTGCAACCCGATCCATAAATATATATAATATATGTTGCGGCGTGCAACCCGTCCTAAATATACAGTCAACAGTGATCATAATAACAGTCCCGACAAGGGATCAACAATAAACTACACTATCCCGGTAAGGGAATTCAATAGTACAAGTATATACGTCCCAGCAAGGAAGAATCAGCTATAACCAATCTTAACTCAACTCCTACTCATCTCAATTATCACCATTTCTCGATCACAAGTATCTTCCATGAAAATAAACTTAAGACTTTACTCATTATCAAGAATTCACCCACTATAGCATTCGTAGTATCATTTAAGAATACAACAAGTATCAATTTAGGACTCACAGTCATGCTCGACACCAACGTATAAATACTCGTCACCATGCCAATACGTCGTACTCAACAAGAAGCAATTAGCAAATAGGACTCAACTCCTAATCCCTCAAGCTAAAGTTAGACCAAACACTTACCTCGATGCCTCGAACACAACTCAAGTTCAATTATAGCTTTACCCCTTGATTCCTCTGCCAATTCACTCGTATCTAGCCACAAGTTACTTAATCACATCAATAAATGCAAAATGAATCAATTTGAATGCATGAAGATAAGTTTTCCAAAGTTTTACCCAAAAAGTCAAAATCACCCCTGAGCCCACGTGGACAAAACCTGAGGTTCGAACCAAAACCCGATTACCCAGTCCCCCACGAGCTCAAATATGTGATTTGTTTTGAAATCGAACCTCGAATCGAGGTCCAAATCCCCAATTTTTGAAAAACCTAGGTTCTACCCAAAACACCCAATTTCCCCCATGAAAATCATTGATTTGAAGTTGAAATCATGTTAAAAGATGTTAATGATTGAAGAAAACTAGTTAAAAATGACTTACAATTGATTTGGAGAAGAAAGGTTGTTTGAAAAATCGCATCTTATGTTTTTGGGGTTTTGAAAAATAAAAAATGACTGAAAATCCCGTCTATTTATACCCCTCTCACCCTCTGTGCGGACCGCACAAAATGGACTGCGGCCGCACAGGCCTTCCTGAGGGTACTGCGGTCCAGTGTCATGTACGGACCGCACGAAATGGACTGCGGCCGCACATCGCACAAAGCCGACCACGGACCGCACTAGCCTCCTTTCGTGGTCGCACACGTTTTTGTGTGGACCGCACTGGCGGGTTCAGAGACCTGCAACTTCTCTGAGCCTGCAACAGCTCAATTTTTAAGCCTAAGACACCCCGGAACCTGCCCGAAACTCACTCGAGCCCTCGGAATTCCAAACCAAGCACACACAAAACCTCAAAAACATCCTACGGGCTTATTCGTGTAATCAAATCATCAAAATAACATCATGAACATCAAATTAAATCTTGAGATCAATGAAATTTTCTCAAAACTTCTTTAAACATCAACTTTGCGATTTAAGTCCGAATCACGTCATATGATATCCTTTTTTCACCAAATTCCACATAAACGTCTTAAATCATATATAAGACCTGTACCGAGTACCGGAACCAAAATACAGGGCCGATACCATCATGTTCTAAGCAAATTTCATTTCAATTTTCCTTAAACAATTTTCAAAAAACAATTTCCTTTAAAAATTCATTTCTCGGGCTTGGGACCTCGGAATTCGATTCCGTGCATATGCCCAAGTCCCATATTTTCCTATGGACCCTAAGGGACCGTCAAATTATGGGTCTGGGCCCGGGTCTGTTTACCCATAACGTTGACCGGGGTCAAATATATTCATTTTACAATCAAAGCTTATCATTTTTCACAGATTTTTACATTTAAGCTTTCCGACTATGCGTCCGGACTGCGTACGCAAATTGAGGTAACTCTAAATGAGGTTTTCAAGGCCTCATAAACACAAAATTTAATTTAAGGCCATCACATTCTCCACCTCTAAAACAACCGTTCGTCCTCGAACTGATAGAAGAAGGAAGTACCTGAGTCGGGGAAAAGATGGGGATAACGGCTTCGCATATCAGACTCGGACTCCCAGGTCGATGCCTTAGGAGGCTAACCTCTTCACGGAACACGAACAGAAGGAAAACTCTTCGACCTCAACTGACGAACCTGTCGGTCTAGAATAGCTATCGGCTCTTCCTCATAAGACAAGTCCTTGTCCAACTGGACAATGCTGAAATCTAACACGTGGGATGGATCCCGTGATACTTCCGAAGCATAGACACATGAAACACTGGATGCACGGCTGATAAGCTCGGCGGCAATGCAAGTCTATAAGCCACCTCCCCACTCGATCAAGAATCTCAAACGGACTAATGAACCTAGGGCTAAGCTTGCCCTTCTTCCTAAATCCCATCACGCTCTTCATAGGCGACACTCGGAGCAATACCCGCTCACCGACCATAAAAGCCATATCTCGAACCTTCAGATATGCATAACTCTATTGCCTGGACTGAGCTGTACGAAGCCTATCTTGAATAATCCTGACCTTATGCAAGGCCTCCTGAACCAGATCCGTACCCAACAACCGAGCCTCTTCCGGCTCAAACCATCCAATCGGAGATTGACATCGCCTGCCATATAAAGCCTCATAAGGAGCCATTTGGATACTCGACTGGTAGCTGTTGTTGTAGGCAAACTCTGCTAAAGGCAAGAACTGATCCCACGAACCTCCAAAATCGATGACACGGGCTCGGAGCATTTCCTCCAAATCTGAATAGTCAGCTCGGACTGCCTGTCCGTCTGAGGATGAAATGTTGTACTCAACTCAACCTGAGTGCCCAACTCTCGCTGAACTGCTCTCCAGAAACGTGAGGTAAACTACGTATCTCGATCCGAAATGATAAACACAGGCATACCATGAAGACGAACAATCTCCCGGATATAGATCTCAGCTAACCTCTTGGATGAATAGGAGAGTGCCACAGGAATGAAATGCGCTGACTAGGTCAGCCTATCAATAATGACCCATACTGCGTCGAACTTCTTCCGAGTCTGCGGGAGTTCAATAACGAAATCCATAGTAACTCGCTCCCACTTCCACTCGGGAAGCTCAATCATCTAAAATAAACCACCAGGCCTCTAATGCTCATACTTAACCTGCTGACAATTCAAACACCGAGCCACATATGCAATGATTTCCTTCTTCATTCTACGCCACCAATAATGCTGCCGCAAATCCTGATACATCTTCGCGGCGCCCGGATGAATAGCGTACCAAGAAATATGGGCCTCCTCTAAGATCAACTCTCGGAGTCCATCCACATTAGGCACACAAACTCGACCTTGCAATCTCAAAACTCCATCATTATCTAAGGCAACCTGCTTGGCACCTCCGCGTTGCACCGTGTCTCTAAAGACACACAAATGGAGATCATCATATTGTCGATCACGGATACGCTTCAATAACGAAGAACAAGCGACTGTGCAAGCTAGCACACGGCTGGGCTCAGAGACATCCAACCTCACGAACTGATTGGCCAAAGCCTGAACATCCAAAGCAAGTGGTCTCTCACCGACCGGAATATAAGCATGACTGTCCATACTGGCTGACTTCCTACTCAACGCATCGGCCACCACATTGGCCTTTCCCGGGTGATATAAGATAGTGATATCATAATCTTTCAACAACTCCAACCACCTCCTCTGTCTCAAATTCAACTTCTTTTGCTTGAACAAATACTGAAGACTCTTGTGATCCGTGAACACCTCACATGCCACGCCATACAGATAATGTCTCCAAATCTTCAATGCGTGAACAATGGCTGCCAACTCTAAATCATGAATCGGGTAGTTCTTCTTATGAATCTTCAAATACCGCGAAGCATAAGCAATGACCTTACCATCCTACATCAACACTGCACCAAGTCCAATACGAGATGCATCACAATAGACTGTATAAGGCCCTGAACATGTGGGCAAAACCAACATTGGTGTCGTAGTCAGAATTGTATTGAGCTTCTAAAAGCTCAACTCACACTCATCCGACCATCTGAACTGGGCACCCTTCTGGGTCAACCTGGTCATCGGGGATGAAATGGATGAAAACCCCTCTACGAACCGGCGATAGTAGCCTGCCAATCCCAAAAAACTCCAAATCTCTATAGCTGATGCTGGCCTAGGCCAGTTCTTGACTGCCTCAATCTTCTTCGGATCCACTTGAATACCCTCTGTTGATACAACATGACCCAGGAATGCAACTGAACTCAGCCAGAACTCACACTTCGAGAACTTAGCATATAGCTGACTATCCCTCAGAGTCTCAAGAACCACTCTGAGATGCTGCTCGTGCTCCTCCCGGCTGCGGGAATATATCAAAATATCATCAATGAAGACTATCACGAACGAATCCAAATAAGGCTCGAACACTCGGTTCATCAAATCCATAAAAGTTGCTAGGGCATTTGTCAACCCGAATGACAACCAAGAACTCATAATGCATGTACCGAGTACGGAAAGTTGTCTTAGGGACATCGGATGACCTAATCCTCAACTGATGGTAGTTAGATCTCAAGTAAATCTTTGAAAATACTTTTGCACCCTGAAGATGATCAAACAAATCATTAATCCTCGGCAATGGATACGTATTCTTGATCGTAACCTTGTTCAACTACCGGTAATCAATACACATTCTCATCGACCCACCATTCTTATTAACAAACAACACCAGCGCACCCCAAGGCGAAACACTAGGTCTAATGAAACCTTTCTCAAGCAAGTCTTGCAACTGTTCCTTCAACTCTTTAACTCAGGCGGGGACATACGATACATCGGGATAGAAATGGGCTGAGTGTCCAGAGCCAAATCAATGCAAAAGTCAATATCCCTGTCGAGTGGCATACCCGGCAGGTCTGAAGGGAATACCTCAGGGAACTCACGAACAATAGGCACATAATCAATAGATGAAACCTCACTGGAATCACGAACATATGTCAAGTAGGCCAAACATCCCTTCTCGACCATGCGTCGAGCCTTCACATACAAGATAACACTACGGGTAGAATGACCAAAAGTCCCTCTCCACTCTAAATGAGGCATACCCGGTAAATCTAAAGTCACAGTCTTGGCATGACAGTCTAAGATAGCATGGTAAGGTGATAACCAATCCATCCCCAATATAACATTGAAATCGACCATGTCTAAAAGCAACAAATCTACACGAGTCTCAAGACCCCCAATCACCACAACATAAGAACGATGGACTTGATCGATCACAATAGAATCACCTACTGGTGTAGACACATAAACAAGAACACTCAATGAATCACTAGGCATGATCAAATACGGTACAAAATAAGATGACACATACGAGTATGTAGACCCTGGATCAAACAACACTGGAGCATCTCTATCACAAACCAGAACCGTACCTGTGATATCTGCATCTGAAGCCTCAGCCTCGGGCTGGCTGGAAAAGCATAACATCGGGGTTGGGCCCCACCACCCTGAACTACATCTCTGGGATGGCCTACAGCTAGCTGGCCTCCACCTCTAGCGGCCTGAGATCCACTTCTAGAACCTCTACCTCCACCTCTAGCACCTCTACCCCCACCTCTAGCTGGTTGGGCGGTCTATGGAACACCTGGTACCTGAACCATAGCGCGAGAACCCTGCTGCTGCGACTGAGTACCCATTAACCTCGGAGAAGTCCTCCTGATATGACCATACTCACCACACTCAAAACATCCACCTGAGTGTTGTGGCTGAGGAAACTGAGACTGACCTTGGTGACCCAAATAACCACCCCAAAAACTCTGGAGCGGCGGTGGTGGTGCACTATAGGACTACTGATCAGAATATTACATCTGCAGACCACGACTACCTGAAGCACTGTGAGAAACCTGAAGAGCTGACTGAAAGGGCTTAGGAGGATGGCTTCTACCATATAAATCTCTGCCTCCAAACGAGGCACCACAGAATCTACCCGAATGATGGGGCCTCTTATCCGACCCATGACCACCTCCCTGCGACAGAACCATCTCCACTCTCCTAGCCACATTGGTCGCCTCCTAAAAAGTAATCTCACTCCCAGCCTCCCTAGCCATCTAAAGACGAATCGGCTGAATAAGACCATCANGGGTAATCGTCATGGAATCCTGTTGGAGATGCTCAAACTGCCTTCGATAGGCCTCTCTATGAGTAATGGGGAGAAACTTCTCTAGAAACAACACTGTAAACTGCTCCAAGTCAAAGATGGTGATCCAGCTGGCCTAGCCAAGCAATAATTTCTCCACCAAGTCGTGGCGGATCCAGACAAGCGAAATGTAGCAAAATCGACCCCATTGTCTCAACAATACCCATGTTCCTGAGAACCTCGTGGCAGCTGTCTAGATATTCCTGGGGATCCTCAGTAGATGCACCGCTGAAAGTAGAAGTGAAGAGCTTGGTGAACCTATCCAGCCTCCACAAAGCATCGGCAGACATAGCTGCTCCATCGTCGGTCTGAGCTACCACACCCGGCTGAACTGCTCCAACTGGCTGAACCACTAGAGTCTGAATCTGGGGAGCTACCTGCTCCGGAGTGCGGGTAGCAAGAGTTTGGGCCCCTTCTCCAGCCTGAGAGACGGTTAGTGCCACAGGAAGCAAGCCTACTCGGGTGACACTCTCCATAAGACCCATAATCGTACCAGAGCATCCTCAAGAACTGGGGTAGCAATAAACCCCTCTGGGACCTGAGCTGGGCCCACCGGAACTGCTGGGGACGGAACCTCCTCATCAAAATCAACCTGAGGCTCCATCACTGGTGGTGCTGCTCGAGGTTGAGCTCTGCCCCTACCTCGACCTCTAGCATGGCCTCGACCTCGCCCTCTGCCCCTCGTGGGAGCTACTGCTGGGGGTTCGGGCTGCTGAGCGGTAGATGAGAAAGCATGTGTTCTCGCCATCTGTGAAGGAACAGAGTAGAAATTCAATTAGCATTAAGAAACAAAATCGCACGACAGGAAAGAACAAACATGAAGTTTTCCTAACTCTATAGCCTCTGGGGATAAATACAGACGTCTCCGTACCGATCCCTCAGACTCTACTGAGCTGGTTCGTGAATTGTGAGACTTATGTAACCTAGAGCTCTGATACCAACTTGTCATGACCCCGATTTCCCACCCTCAGGAGTCGTGATGGCGCCTACTCGTAGAAGCTAGGCAAGCCGGGAAAATTTGGAAATCTTTAACTACTTTATTTTAAGCCTTTTAACAACTTGCATTAACAGGTGATAAACATTTAAATAATAGAGGAAGATGAAATTAAACGGAAGACTTAGATGAATATAATACCAAAATCGATACGAAAAGTCAACATATGTCTCTACCCAGAAACCGGTGTCACAACATTCACAGAGCGTCTATGACTACTACATACAAATGTTTGAAGGAAAGAAACACAATATGTCTCGGATACAAGTGAAAACAGAACATAGTAATAGGTAGAAGAGACGTCGTGCCTGCGGACGCCTGCAAGACTACCTCGGAATCTCTGTGGACTAAAGGCTGGCTCCCAAGCTACTGACCCAATGCTGCTCCGGAATTTGCACAGAGTGCAGAGGGTAGCATCAGCACAACCGACCCCATGTGTTGGTAAGTGTCTGGCCTAACCCCAGCGAGGTAGTGACGAGTCTAGGACCGGACTCCAGATAAACCTGTGCAGTTATATAACATATGGCAGAAAATAAACAAGAATAAGCAGTTTAAATGGGAGGGGGTACATGCTTCGGGGAACATATCAAATCCAACAGCAACTTAATAAGATATGAAAGGACAATTCAATAGCTACAACAATACAATAACAATACTGTTGTGGCGCGCAACCCGATCCCTTATCATTTAATATTGTTGCGGCGTGCAACCCGATCCACATATATAATTGTTGTAGCGTGCAACCCGACCCAATATAATATCTGTTATGGCATGCAACCCGATCCAACATAATATCTGTTACGGCGTGCAACCCGGTCCAACATAATATCTGTTGCGGCGTGCAACCGATCTATAAATATATATAATATCTGTTGTGGCGTGCAACCCGTCCCAATATACAGTCAACAGTGATCATAATAACAGTCCCGGCAAGGGGTCAACAATAAATTACACTATCCCGGCAAGGGAATTCAACAGTACAAGTATATACGTCCCGACAAAGGAGAATTAGTTATAATCAATATTAACTCAACTCCTACTCATCTCAATTATCACCATTTCTCAATCATAAATATCTTCCACGAAAATAAACTTAAGAATTTACTCATTATCAAGAATTCACCCACTATAGCATTTGTAATATCATTTAAGAATACAACAAGTATCAATTTAGGACTCACGGTCATGCTCGACACCAACGTATAAATACTCGTCACCATGCCTATACGTCATACTCAACAAGAAGCAATTAGCAAATAGGACTCAACTCCTAATCCCTCAAGCTAAAGTTAGACCGAACACTTACCTCGATGCCTCGAACACAACTCAAGTTCAATTATAGCTTTACCCCTTGATTCCTCCGCCAATTCGCTCGTATCTAGCCACAAGTTACTTAATCACATCAATAAACGCTAAATGAATCAATTTGAATGCATGAAGATGAGTTTTCCAAAGTTTTATCCAAAAGTCAAAATCGCCCCCGAGCCCACGTGGACAAAACCCGAGGTTCGAACCAAAAACCGATTACTCATTCCCCCACGAGCTCAAATATGTGATTTGTTTTGAAATCGGACCTCAAATCGAGGTCCAAATCCCCAATTTTTGAAAAACCTAGGTTCTACCCAAAACACCCAATTTCTCCCATGAAAATCATTGATTTGAAGTTGAAATCATGTTAAAAGATGTTAATGATTGAAGAAAACTAGTTAAAAATGACTTACAATTGATTTGCAGAAGAAAGGTTGTTTGAAAAATGGCTTCTTATGTTTTTGGGGTTTTGAAAAATGAAAAATGACTGAAAATTCCGTCTATTTATACCCCTCTCAGACCCCCTATGCGGACCACACAAAATGGACTGCGGCCGCACAGGCCTTCCTAAGGGTACTGCGGTCCAGTGCCCTGTGCGG